TTGTGGCCCTTGCTGGCATCCCAAGATAGAATGTTCCTGTCCTATCAGCATGTTGGCATGTATTATACTGGTTGCTGTCAGTCACTACTTGCATTCCCAATTGGTTGTTATCTTTTTTGTTTCTTTGGTGAGATTTGCCATTATAGATTCTAATTTTTATATTCTGTCCATTATTTTTGCTCTGTAGACCATTAAATCTGTTCTCTGGACTCTCAGTTCTCTTTGAACCCATCAAGAACAGGGTGTTGTACTCCCACGTTCTCACCTTCTATAGGGTTTTCTGTCTCAAGTGCAGGATCATTTTCCTTTGTTTTGCAGGATTTAATCAGTTTAGTAGACTGAAGGCCACATTTTTTTTGGGGGGGGTGTTAATTTTTCCTCTATTGATTGGCTTATGTTTAAGGTCTTTACATTTTCTTGTTCCCGAGGTCTTTGGTAATTTCAATCTTTTTTTTTTCTTTTTACCTTTATTTCTCCCTATTGCTCACTTTCTTACTCCTTACACTTTGATAGTGGTTTCTTTGGGAGCTGGATCTCAAAGCAACTCAGACTGCTTCCATGCCGGGCAATTCCCAGTTCACCAGTCTAGGTCTCTGCCCCAGGTGGCTTTTGGGTGGATGAAAGTAACACCAGTTGGGTGCTGGAGCTCTTTCCCCCAGGCCTGGTAGAGTGCTGCACAGTGGCCACCATCTCCCCTCCCAAAAACAAACAAACAAACAAAAAACAAAACCCCACACACAATGGTGTCTTCACTTGGTGCCCTGCTCCACCTTTCTTATTTCCTCAGTTATCTGTCTGGGCAAAGCTCTGCTTCATTGGTGTTGTGGGTTTGATTTCTGTTATTTGGTTCTCCAAGGCTCTGTAGGAGGAGGGAGGTGGAGTGGTGTTGAGTTTAAGCCGAGACACACATCTTGCTCCTTTCACTCTGTTCTTCTGTTGTCTTATAGCGATCTTTTGCAGCCCACTTCAGTGCTGGCTGGCTGTCTTGTTCTGCCATGATCACTGCTGTAGCCCTGCCTCGCTTGATGATGGAAGAATTTTCCACAGCCTGGAGCTGGGGTCTGGAAGGGGCACTGGAATGTAGGATTAGGTTTTGTTGTAAGCCTGTGTGTTGGGTCCTTGGGTAAGCTAGGGCAGCCTCACTGTTTGCGGGAGGTGAGGAAGAGTCCTCCTGAATGATGTGCCTGATCATTTATTAGCAAAATGACATAAACCTTTCAAAGTTTTGAGGTAGGATTGTCTAAATATTTTTGTCTCTCTAATCTTAGAATATGGGGCATGTCCTACATATTTCCAGGCAAAGGAGTTTAGGAATCACATTCATTTTGCCACTCAACAGGAAAAGGTCTTTGCCAAAAAGAAAACATTTTTGCACTAAGATATAAAGTTGGACAGTCTTGAAAGTCATCTAGTCTAACTTGTACAAAGGATCATCCAGTATGCAGGAGGTCTTTCTCTAGGTCTCATCATGTTTCCAATCCAACAGACACATCATGAGTACCAAGGCAGCATTTGGGCTGTCCATCTGTTAGCCCTCATTGGCCTGGTACATGACCAGGCCAGTACCTCCTTGTCCAATCATCCATTATGCCACTTCTTACTAATGGGTTATAAGATTGTTGCAAACATGCTGAATCCTACTTGGGCCCATCACATTTTTCTCAAAGTATAATTTAGAAACCATACTATGAAATATCACATCAAAACAATACTGAAATTTATTATGTTTTAGAGAAGATAGAGAGCTGAATCACACTGAACATGCTAAAATATAGTGCATAAAAAATCCTATGATGTTGTCATATCAGCGGCTGCTCCATCAAAAATAGTATTTCATATTATGCTTTTCTTAAATCAAGAAGCCATGTTCATTTATACCATGCGAAAAGGAAATTAACTTATAGAGCCTGAAAGTCATTAAAGAATTTTAAAAATCATATTAGTATTCATAGTAGAATTTTAAATAAATGGGAACAGTGAGATTTTAGTGAATAATATGGGTGGCACACAATTACTCTGACTTTTGCATTTAACTTCTACAATTTTACATAAGAGTACAAGTAAAAGAGATTTAGAAGCTGGTTCTAATATCTTGATATAATTTCCAGGGATCCACAAATTTGTAAAGAAAACCTAATCCAAAGTTTAACACTTCCTTAATATAATATTCCCACATCTTATAGCTCATGTATTTCAGTGATTTCCTTCAAGGCTCAGTTGCATTGCCACCTTTTTATGCATGGTGTAGTGAAAAAAGCACTGTATTTGGATTAGGATCTGTTTGAATCTCAGTTCTGCCACCTACTAGCTCTGTGCTGGGCCTTAGTTTCCACATCTGTAAAATAAAGTTTTTGGCCTAGCTCACCTCTAATTCCCTTTCCAGTTCTATAAATCATTCCTGGTCTCTGTCTTCCTGACCCCCCGCCCCCACCTCATTCTAAAGAGATCTTGTATTCATTTTGTATATATTTTTTATGTGTGTCAGTTCATGTACATGTTCTCCTTCCCATTAGAATATAAACCCCTCGAGGGGAATGTCCATTTCCCTTCTGTGGGAGTTGCTTTCCTGCATCTGGTACAGTGGACCATTCAGAGCCAGACTTTAAATAAACAGTCCTTTTACTAAAAAACCATTGCAAAATCCTTAGGTAGGAGCAATTCTCCAGGTGAATTAAAAAAAAAAACCAAACAATTCAGAAGATTAAAAAAAAACCTGCTGTCAAGAAGGCAGTTGGCAAAAAGATTGAAAAAAGCAAGGTGGGTCTCTGGAACCTCAGGATCTCTTATCAAGAGTGTAAAAAAAAAACCAAAACCCCAAAGGTCAACACTTTTTTTTTGGCGCCAACACTTTTATACTCCTCTTGGTCAAAGGACCACAGCTGAGTGCAGTATTAATCCCAGTTGTTCCTGGTCTTTATCCCAACTTCTTTGCTTGTTGGTTGGCATTGTGGAGCTATGGATGGGCTAACACATATTGTCCTGATTCCTGGCCCACAACTTCTCTCATTGTATCCCTAGCTCTTAACATATAAATTGTATGTAGCAAGTGCTCAATGAATACTTGTTGATTTATTGATTCAAAAATATCCTGTATAATAAAAATGCTTGGACTGAACTTTGGGATTCATAATACTCAAATGAATCTGTGATTTTATTGATTTAGAAGTTCTCATAAAATATTTCAGATCACAATCCATCCACACCTGTATCCATGCTTCTTGTGAAGCTCTTCTTTTTGTTCCCCCATAAGTTTGATTGAAAATATGATGAGATCTAGAGAAAGACCTTCTGCATATTGGATTCATCCTTTGTACCAGTTAAGAAGCACTGAAGGGGTTGCGAGTGGAAAAAATTTAAGAATGGCTAGACAAGATGATCTTCAAGACTGTCCAGCTTTATATCTTAGTCTTACAGCGTGCTCACACTCACTGTGTACCTCCCCATCCCTTTCTGTTTTTGTAAACTGTTATATTCTGTGTCTTGCTGTATAGTAAAATTTAGTATTTAAGACTAGGTGCCAGGTTAGTCGTGAAAAGGTAATCATTGGGATGACCTATGATTATTTCTAGACCCAGTCCCACATAGTCACTTGTTCAGTTTTTTCAGTTGTTTTAGTCATGTCCAACTCTTTGTGACCCCATCTGGGGTTTTCTTGGTAGAGATACTGGAGTGGTTTGCCATTTCCTTCTCCAGCTCATTTTACAGATGAGGAAACTGAGGCAAACAGGGTTAAGTGACTTGCCCAGGGTCACACAGCTAGTATGTATCTGAGGCTGGATTTAAACTCAGGTCTTCCTGACTAGGTTTAGGGCTTTGCACTGTTGGGTGGTGCAGTGGGTAGAACACTGGGCTGGGAAAGAGGAAGACTCCTCTTTGTGAGTTCAGAAGAGGCCTCAGACATTTACTAGCCATGTGACCTTGGGCAAAATACTTAACTCCTGGTCAATGATATTAAAAGGAATAGTATTTCTTAACTTGCACAGGAAGCTCAAAACTTAGGGGATACCCAGGGCTAAAAGGACAAGGGAGCAACTAGGGAACCAAAGAAATTACTGGACCTCAGGGTCTTCTGGTCAGTTCTAGGGGAAGAAAGGAGTTTTATTGATGATCCTTTGGAGGAATTGTCTTTTGGCCACAGTGTACCTAGTTTCAACTCTCCAATCACTCATGTTAATTAGTGTGGAGGACAGCTGGGGTTTATCTCTTCCAGGGAAGCATGCTGAACTCCTACACTGAGGCTGGGGGCTCACACCTTAAAAACTAGGATTATATTTCTCCCTTCCTTGACATTGGAAATGGGAGTTCCAAAACAGGGGCAGTGGATAGATAATATATCTATCCTAGAGCAGTGGGTGGAGAACTGGAGAGATCTGACTATTAGGGCAGCAACAAAGCTGGTCATGGTTGTGGTTTTTTGTAAAAAGAAGACAGGGCTTCAATTAAGAGTGTCTGGTTTTTCACCTCTAATGTTGCTGGTGTGGAAGCATCGGAGATTGGCCAGTAAGGACTGGTAGTGTACAGCAGTGGAGTCAAATTCAAATAGAAAGGGATCCCTGTGGGCTACATATTGACTTAGAAAAACTACAAATTAAGGTTATCTGTGTTATATTGTATTTTTATTTATTTTGCTAAACATTTCCCAGTTCCATTTTAATCTTGGTTGGGCCTCAAATTTGACACTCTGGGTGTCATGGGGATAGAAGTTTTTAGCATGAAGGTTTCCAAAAACAGTGATGGGAATTTTGGGAGGTGGCATTCCTAGAAAGGAGGTGGCCTGTGGCTTAAGTCCTATAGAATTCAGAGAGGCCTCTTTCATAGCCAGAGGGCTTTTTTGAATATTACATGATGATTCCTTTGAAAATAAAATACACTTTTAATTAGTATTTGGATACCTAGAGGAATTGGTAATAGGGAATGCTTTTATTTCCCCTCTTATTGGTAGAAATTAAAGGTTTCTTCTTACCTATTAACAGGGTATTTGTGTGTTCCTTTTCTTGCAGATATGGTTTTAGACATCATGAGCGTGTGACTTCAAGAATGGACAACTGGGAATCTATTAATTCTGATTAGCCTTAAACAGACTCATAACCATAGAGAAACCTCATCCAGTTCTATACTTTCTGCTTTGAATCTGTCTTGACATCTCACTCCTTTGCGCAGCCATGTATGGAAGTGCTCGTTCGGTTGGCAAAGTTGAACCAAGCAGTCAGAGTCCTGGGCGTTCACCGAGGCTTCCTCGTTCCCCGCGTTTGGGTCACCGTCGAACCAATAGCACAGGAGGGAGTTCTGGAAGCAGTACTGGAGGTGGCAGTGGTAAAACTCTTTCAATGGAAAATATCCAGTCCTTAAATGCTGCCTATGCTACATCAGGGCCTATGTACTTAAGTGACCATGAAAATATGGGCCCAGATACACCTAAAAGCACCATGACACTTGGCCGTTCTGGGGGTCGGCTGCCTTATGGTGTTAGGATGACTGCTATGGGCAGCAGCCCCAATATTGCTAGCAGTGGGGTTGCCAGTGACACCATAGCGTTTGGAGAACATCACCTCCCTCCTGTGAGTATGGCATCCACTGTACCTCATTCATTGCGCCAGGCAAGGGATAACACAATTATGGATCTACAGACACAATTGAAGGAAGTGTTGAGGGAAAATGATCTGTTACGTAAGGACGTAGAAGTGAAAGAGAGTAAATTGAGCTCTTCAATGAATAGCATCAAGACCTTTTGGAGTCCAGAGTTGAAGAAGGAACGAGCCCTGAGAAAAGATGAAGCTTCCAAAATCACTGTTTGGAAGGAACAATATAGAGTTGTGCAAGAGGAAAACCAGGTTAGTTATACTTGTATTTATCTGTGTGCACTGAATTCACATATATATGAAATGAATCACATTTTATTTTCCCACTTCTCCCTGTCTTTCATGCCATCTTTATCTTAAGGGTTTTTTGCCTGTTTCTTAATTTTTTTCCTAAATGCCTCATTGTCCCAACCTTGCTACTTTGTTTCCATTTGTTTAATCCACTTTATATCACTTTTCTGCTTATTTTGTTTCTATTTGATTTTTCTAACTGCCTTTGAATCTCTCCTTTCAGCATGTTGTATTTTTCTCAGCTCTAATGAGAATATACTATACCACAAGCGGTGCCATCCATTGCTTAGAGCATTTGAGAGCATATAAGGTTATCTTCTGTTTTCCCATATGTCCAGAATTATAGCACTGTCTTCTCCTTTAAAATTGAGTGCATTACTTTGAGCTGTTCTCAGTTGAACAATATAACATTGAGGGTAGTAATTGAAAATTTAATGTTTAATTTTCTTTTTTTTTGGCAGGCAGTTGGGGTTAAGTGACTTGCCCAGAGTCACACAGCTAGTAAGTGTTATGTGTCTAAGGCCAGATTTGAACTCAGGTCTTTCTGACTCCAGGGCCTGTACTCTATCCACTGTGCCACCTAGCTGCCCCTCTTTTTTTTTTTGAATATTTAATTTCAATATTTGAGTATCAGCTATAAGTTATCAAACAAATGTTTATTTTGTTTAGTGACATTAATGTAATTTGATCTTGAAGATGATTAGACAGCCTGTTTTTTTGGCTCCTTAATTCATTGAAGTTCAGGAAAAAGAAAAATGTAAAATTTTAACTTATATTTTAAAAAAAAGAATTGGCTAAATATTTGAATAATGAGATATTCCAGGTCAAGAACCAAATGTATTATCAATTTCATAAGCTGTTCATTTAGTGCTAACCTGCCCTTCGAGGTAATATAAATTATGCTTCATTCATTATTGTGTCATTTATCTCTCTTTGCAGATGTTTTATAACATTAAAAGTGTGAACATATGCTTTAGGGTTCAAGTAACAGAAACCTAAAATAAGCTTCTTTTCAAAAGGGTTTCTGGGAGCGGTCTTTGAATTTGTGAACCTTAATGTTTTGTTTCAAAAAAGCTAAACTTCCTTTGTGAGAGTTATTTTTTCAAAGCAGTTGGTTTCCTGTTGATATTATAAATGCATAAATCGAATCATTTTTTGATATGTTCTGTATTGACTGTGAATTACTTAAGTGATTTGTTTGAAACTTCACCTGGCTCTTGGCATGTTGCTAAGAAGGAAAGTAAGTATTGTAACATTCTTGCTTTCTGTACATATCATGCATTGCTAAACATAAATTAAATTGTAGTGGTTAGCTTTATTCTCTATCATAAATACTATGTATCTTCAATAATTATGTGACTCTGACTTGGTTATTTTAAAATCACAGGCTCTTGAGAAAAAACAATTTCTACTTTAAAAAGAATTACACTTGAGAGTTTCCTACAGTAATTTTCTAGATCACCTTGTCCTCAAACATATTGACTTTCTCTTGAAGATTTTGCTGGTGCTTTGTAATGCCATTTCTGGAAATGACAAATTTTTCAGAAAGTCCATGACAAAGAAAATGTGATTTACTATTACGTAATGTTAGCTGATGAAAGCAAAGTATCTTTGATACTTTGGCGGCCATTGCCACATACTCCCAAAATATAAAACATATCTTGTATTTTCTGAATATTCATATGTTGTGATTTTGAACTATAAAAATCAATATGGTAAAAATTTTATCAATTTTACAAAAAATGAAATAACTTATTACCATATGTTACTATAAAGAACGAAGAATCTGCTTTTGCTGTATGTGTATTTTTTTTGTTTTAATAATGATGACGATGATAATAGTTAGCATTTATATAGCACTTACTCTGTGGCAGGCACTGAGCTAAATGCCTTACACTTATTATTATCTCATTTGAACCTCACAACAACCCTGGTAGGTAGATGCTATTATTATCCCCATTTCACTGATGAAGAAACAGGCAGATAGGAGTTAAGTGACTTGCCCCTGATTGCAGAACTAGGAAGGGTCTGAGGCCGGATTTAATCTCAGGTCTTTGTGACTTTAGGCCCAGTGCTGTATCTCCTGCACCACTTTTGTCTGAAAAGGCACAGAATACTTCAGATGTATAGATGTTTGTGTTTGTTGGTATGTATACAGGGCATTCCAAAAGTCTTAGTGCAGTTTTACGCTTTTGTAGCTTACTATTAACTTAGTAGTAGCTTATTGTTAGGTGGCTCATGCAGCTTAGGTGGCTCAGTGGATAGAGCACTGGGAATACCTGAGTTCCCATCAGGCCTCAGACACTCACTAGCTGGGTGAACCTGGACAAGCCGCTTAACCTCTCTTTGCCTATTCTACTGGAGAAGGGAATGGCAAACCATTCCATCATCTTTGCCAAGAAAACCCCAGATGGGGTCATGAGGAGTCAGGGATGACTGAACAACAACAACAATTACAGGGGTCCCTTGTAAGACTAGATAGATGTGTGGATTTATGTCTATAAATATTTTATATACTTGTAATTACATTGTTGTAAGGAGCTTGATGTGAGGAATTTCCTCTATCATCAGTATCTTCTCTGTTACTTACAGACTGAGAGAGATGCCTGAGTCATTAGAGATTAGAGGCAGTATATATCAAAGGTGAGACTTGAACCCTGGTCTTCTGAGGCCCAGATCATCTTTCACTCGCTTTGGCACACTGCCTTTACCTTACACACACGTAAATCAGCAAAAACTTATGAAGTGCCTGTTACATACAATATGCTGTTTGTTATGCTACATATGGGTGGTACAAAAAAGAATGAAACATTCTGTACTCTCAAGGCTCATTCTGATACATATTTATATACAGAATAAATGCAAGGTAGTCATGGAGGGAGATGATGGGGAGACCATGAAAGACTATGTAGAAATAGATATTTAAGCTGTGTCTTGTAGAAAGGGGAGTCTGAGGAGCTGGAGATGAGGAGGAAAAGAAAATGCATTAAAGGACTGAGGGTGAGGAGTTACCAGTGCAGAGGAATGGAACAGGAAATGGAGTGCTGTGGGTGAAGACCAGTTTAGTTGGAATGTAGAGTGGCAGAAGGGGAGTGATACGTACTAAAGCTGGAAAGATAGGTTTGCAGCAGGTTTGAAGGTTTAAAAGCTAAATGAAATAGTTTATATTTTATTCTGGAGACCATACAAAGCCCATGAATTGATTGAGTAGGGGAATTGAGTAGTTGTTTGAGTAGGTTAGATATTACCTGAGGAAAATCACTCTAGCAGCTATGTGTAGGGTGGACTGGAGTGGGGAAAGACTTTAGTTAGGGAGACCAGTTAGGAGGATGTTGCAATAACGTCCTTGAGAAATGATGATGGCATCAGTTAAGGAGGTAGCAGTGAGTAGAGAGAATGGTTTGGATGTGAGAGATGTGAAGGTAGATACAGCAAGATTTTGCAACTGATGGGATATGTAGAGTGAGAAAGAGTGATACCAAGGCTATATATTTATGCATGTACACATACATACATTCACTTGCATATATACGCATACACACAGATAGGCGAGTGTGACATAATATATCAAGAGGTGGTCCTGGAGTTGGGAAGACCTGGGGTTCAGGGTCTGCCTCTGACACATACTAGCAGTGAGATTAACTTTAGACAAGGCAGTTAACTTTTTAGTGCCCTAAGTGACACTCTAATTTAAAAAATTATAGGTGAGGACATACCACATACACAATGTACCACTTAGGCCAGGGGACCATTTTCTTGCTTGCTTTTTAAAAACTGATTTTATAACATTTGTGTATTTTGAATATCTTAGTTCCTCATTATACGTTGTAAGATATTTAATAGTTAATTATGATGGATGTGTCAGGATACCATCCAAGTTCAAATGGATTAATTGATAAAGAAAAAAAATCAAAGCTTATTCTAGCCATCTAAATGGAATTTTTTTTAAAGTCAAGTAAACAAGCATTTATTAAGTGGCCACTGTGTGCCAGGCACTCTGTGGAGAAAGGCAAAGATCAGTCTCTGCTTTGAAAGAACTCACAGTCTAATGTCTTAATTTGAGCTCATAATGTTAACTTTTTAATGTGGTAAATCTTAAGGGAAAAAAATACACATGACAGGAAAATACTAAGTAGGTTTCTTTTTAAGTGGTTTATTTTCTAAAGACTGATTATATAATGCTTTTTGTTAAATGGATATTATATGTAAGTATATAAGAACTGAATTGAGGTCACTAGCTTTGACACTGTTTTTTCTTTGTATGTCTTGGGTGCTCAGAAATTAAAGAGCAAAAAAAATGTTTTATGCCATGTCTTCAGTAAAATGCCCATTTGTTTTCTTTTTTTAATTTTATTTTAAATTTTTATTTAAAAAATATTTTTTTCCATATGCTTTTGAGTTGAAAATTTTTCTCCCTTTTTCTCCCCCTACCCTCCCCAAGATGGCGCACAATCTGACATAGGCTTTACATTTACATACCCATTCAACATATTTTCCACATTAGTGAAGTTGTAAGTAAAAATTAAAACCAGTAGGAGGAACCATCAGAAAGATGAAACAAAACTCAACAGAAGGTAAAAATAAGTGAGAGCGATTCGACTTCCATAGTTTTTTCTTTGGATGTGGACAGCATTTTCCATCCCGAGGCCTCTGGAGGTGTCTTAGATCCTTGTAATGCTGAGAAGGGTTCAGTTTAACATTCTTAGTCATTGCATAACGTGGCTGCTATTGTGTACAAAGTCCTCTTGGTTCTGCTCACTTCACTCAGCATCAGACCATATAAGTCTTCCCAGGTTTTTCTGAAGTCAGCCTGTTCATCATTTCTTATAGAACAACAGTATTCCATTACATTCATATACCACAACTTGCTCAGCCATTCCCCAATTGATGGGCATCCTCTCCATTTCCAATTCTTTGCCACCACAAAAAGAGCTGCTATGAATATTTTTGTACATGTGGGT